AGAGTCTTAATTCCTTATTTATTATTTCTATATATAGGAAAGACATGTATTTACAATAAAAAACTAGAAATAAACCTAAAAAATTTTAAGTTTCTGTATCAATTCTGTTTTGTGAGGTTTTTGATTTTTGTTTTGATGAGCAAGGCACTTGTCTAATAATGTAATAAAAAGGAAATGACCCTAGTAGCCAGAGGCCTAACATTCTCTGCGCATGCTGGGTCCCTTCGGTTTCCCAGCCATCCTGGGGTTGCTGTTTACCATGTTCTCTTCTTGCATATTTAGCTTATGAATGAGCTCATTAGAATTTATAGCACATCAATGCACTTAACTTGTGAGAAGGGATACCTGGATGAAGGGTCCCCAGATCTCTAAACACCTCCCAAATAAAAATAATAGCAAAGAATCATTTTACACATGCTAAGGGGTAGCAAGAACATTCCACGAGAAGCCAGTCCTGGATAATGAAACCTTTGTACCTAAAGGAGGCTTAGCAATGTTCTCCAAGGCTCTCATTTTACAAACAAGGAAGTAAAACATGAAGATTAATGAGTTGCTCAGGATGCCCAGCTGGACTACAGTGGAGGTGGGTCAGATGCCAGGTGGGGTACCTTTGCCTCTCCAATTTCTTCTAGGTCTCCATAGATATCCAGTCTAACTTATGGTAGCTCTAATATTTAAAGGAATAAATAACACCAGCATAGAAGAGTTCTGACTTTATGTAATCTTAAAGTTGTTGGTATCCAGTAATGTGACAGCAAGCAGAAACACTGAAATGACACCCACGATTTGGAGGCAGATTTATTTATGTCGATGGACAGTGATTGGGATCGTTTCCAGAATAGCAGGCTCTGATCTCTGCTGGTTTAGGGCTTATGTGGGATATGCCAGCAGGAAGTACAGGCAGAATGGCTTGTTAATTGGAGATGGGCATGCACAAAATGCATCCCAGTGGCCAGATGTTTCTAAGAGGCAGGTGCAACCAGAACTGCAACAGGAACTGTTACCTGGGTAACTAAGAAACAGAACGTGCTGGCTGCGGGTGGGGGGAATCTTCTGTTACAGTACAGTCACTTTATTGTAAAGGGATTTGTACCAAAAGCTACAATAGCTGAGTCTCTGTTCCACCTAGCTTGTTTCTTTTAATTTAACCTCAGCACCATTACCATCAATGCCAAGTTCCCATCTCACACCAGAAAGAAAGGAAAGAACAGAAGCTGTCATCAAGAAATCAGATAATAAAAATTGCCTGCCAGGCCATGGGGGAAAAGGAGTTATGTACATTGTTAGTGGGAATCTAAACCAGTGCAAGGAGTATAAAATTCAGTATGGAGATTCCTGCAAAAAGTAAAATTAGAAATTCCATTTGACCTAGCCATTCCCCGTGTAAAGTTCCCCAAAGAGTGAAAGACCTCACAGTGCAGCGGTGCTTGCATAATCATTCGCAGCAGCAGCAGTCACAGTAGCTAAGTCTCGGCAGCAGCCTGTCTGTCCACCACCAGATGAATAGGTGAGGCAAATGGGACACTTGCACACGACGGAGTCCTGCTCTACCCTACAAAGGAGTCATTTGTAGGAAAATGGATGCACCTTGAGGTCATCATGCTGAGTGACATAAACCAGGCACACAAGTTTGAGTATGGAGGCAGATCTTTGTCAGAACGGAAGTCAGGAGATGGGAGGAGTGAAAAGCGGGAAGGGAGGGCATGAGCAAGGAGTGGAGAGGAGGAGGTGCCCAACCTGAGGACTGTAGCCCCAAAGTGGAGGCACAGCCCAGGGCTTTCTGCTCCCTATTCTGCAGTCTCACTCGGATTAGTAATTAAGTAATAGCGGTGGCCTCGCCCTCCACTGCCCCAAAGCAGGATCAGGGCTCACGCCTCCCTGCTGCTCCTCCTCGCAGGCTGCGGTGGGACTCTGTATGGAGACAGCGGCTCCTTCGCCAGCCCCGGCTACCCCGGAACCTACCCTAACCACACTCACTGCGAGTGGGCCCTGGCGGCCCCCTCGGGCAGGCGGGTGGTGGTCAGCTTCGACCTGTTCAGCATCGCGGACCCAGGCGACTGCGTGCACAACTACCTGCTGCTGCACGACGGGCCCAACGCGGCCTCCGTGTCCTCTGGCCCCTACTGCGGAGCGGTAAGTACAGGGACACTGGACTCCCGCTTCCGACTTTTAAAAATGGAAAGTAACAATAAGGTAGACTGGAAAGGCAGACATTGGCAGCTCAAGACTCTCACAAGCTAAGGACAGTACTGTAATCACCGGCTCTGATTTTTCTATCCGGGGAGCACGAGTGCCACCTGGTGGACATGGCCTTTCATTACTCCTAATTCCCAAACCCGACTGCCCCCAGTCCCTTGGGCGCTGCTTACTTCACAGACTTCTGCTCCCACCCAACGCTGGGGAAGAGTCCTAGTGTGTTGCTTCTAAATGCTTCAGAAGCGCTCTGGGTGCACGTTCCAGGACTGCAGACTTGCGTCTATTTCTATAGCGACTATAGAGTACATAGGGACCAGAACTGCTGACAATTCAGACACATGACTTCATCTCACTTCTACTTCTTGTTGAAATTCTTTGAAACAACAGTGACAAGTCGTTTGACTGCATCTGCAAAGTTCTAATGTCGTAGATCTCCCCCAAACATCACTTTAGAATTTGACGCTGAGAGCTTGCAGAGCTATCAAGGCCTGAGTGGCTGCTGGTGAGACCTGTTTCTAATGATCCTCCCTTGGCTTTTCCAATCAAGATGGACAGAGAATTCAATAACTGGAAATCTAGAGAATTTTCAAAATATAACTCATTTGTAAACTTGATAAGTGTTATTTTCAGAAATTGCAGAAAATGGATCATTTTTTTCCCAAAACCTTGAGAATTCTACCGTAGTATTCTCAGCACCTTTCCTTGAGCACATTGGCCTAGACATGCGCATTCCTGCACTCCCTGGTGGAGCGCTCCTTTCACCCTTAAACACATCTGTCACGAGCATCTGGCCAGGTCGATGAAATCATGCATTTTTTTCATTGCATCATCTGCTGTCTGTGGACAACATCATGGTCCAGCCTAAATGATTTAATGAAGCCTGTCCACTTGGTAGGTCGGGCCATGGGAAGCTTTCGCTACCAGACAACTCAGCAATGACATCTTGTGCAGAGTGACTGCGTGGGGAGAGGTTTGGATCATGGCCCCTAGGTGTCACCTCGCTGTGCACACACAGAAGGCCATTATCCAGAGAATCAGTGAAGGTCCCAATCCTAGATCTGAATCTTGCAAAAGAGAGGCAGAGGCAATTTTAACCTGCCATTATTTTGTATTTGTGTAGTGTGTGTATACTCACATGTACGTGTGCTTGTGTGTGTGTGTGTGTGTGTTTGGGCTCCCTGTGTGACACTCTTGTGAGAAGAGAAGTTCATGCACATCCTGGACGGTGCTGATAAAAGGAAACTCAAAACTCGGGCACTGAGAAGAGCACCGATGGCCATTTAAACCAATGTCACATTAAATCCAAGCAGATAGCTAGACATGGCAGGTGTGATAACTGTTAGGCTTCACAGCATTTCCCCTGCTTTGCACTTTTTTCCATACATGTGGCTTTATGCACCCTTGGAGTCCCCATTCTCTGATAAGCTGATGTAGCAGGCTTGCTTAGCCCATAAGTTCAAGACCATCCTGAACAGCACAGTGAGATGCCATCTCAGAAAAACAGTAGACAGAGCTTCATATGTAATTGTATTTTCCATAAATGGAAGGTACCACCCATTTCTTTAACATATAAATTTTAAATATAAACATAAGGTATACATATGAATGAAAAGTTATAAAATATAAAGTCATCAGGTCTGGTAGTGCACACCTGTAATCCCAGCACTTTGGAAGCTGAGGCAGGAGGACTGCTTTGAGTTTGAGACCAGCCTGGGCTACACAGCTAGCCTGAATTGCCTAGCAAGACCCTGTCTCAGAAAGACAAAAATGAAAGAAACATAAAGTAAGTTTGTACAAAGCAGTGGAAGTAGACCTTCACATTGTGAATGTAGACACACGACTATATGAGGATTTAAAGGTATTTCATGTTATGATAAAATAAGTATCTTTGTTCACAAGGAAATTTGGTGTCACTTGCAGCTTCAGAATCAAAACACATAGGAAATGAAGGGATGATAGGACACTTTCATTACTCTCAAAAGAAACCTGTACCCATTTCCCCTCACACTCCACTTCTTGAAATAGTCTTGCATAAAGTATCGACACTAATTTTTGCCAAGTTGACTTCTAGAAATATATGCAGGATCACTATAAACTCTACAAAACTTTATGTAATGCTTGGGGTTTTTTTTATTACATTTTTAGATACCTATTCAAATTTTAAAAACATATAACTTGTTGCCTTTTTCTGAATTATAGGACACGAACATAGCTCCCTTCACGGCTTCTTCAAATCGGGTCTTCATAATATTCCACGCCGAGTATGCAGCACAGCCATCTGCATTCCGGTTAACCTGGCACAGCTGAGGGGGCAACTTTGGGTTCCTCGGCACTGTGCTGTTCCCAGGGGCCAGCAGACAACACCAGGGACAGAACGCTGCCACCTTCACCTGGATGTGCCTGTACCTCTGAGCCCAAATTGAACTTCCGTGGTTGCCGCTGAGAATGTAACGCAGTCAACATTTATACCTCGTTTTGGGGGCATGGACAACCTTCTGTCACCTGGCTGTGAATATCATTCTTTCTTCTAATATCCTGAGCTGAGGCTTAGAGATTCTTTAAAGGTTTAAGCATGGTGTAAATTTTTTTAAAAATGAATAAAGGTATGATTTTCATGGTGGGTGTGAGAGTTAATATTGAAGTGTATAAAATTAGGCTGCTTTACTATTTATCTCATTAAACCTTAGTCTTTTACTATGGCTCAACACAGAAAGCCTGGCGCGACTACCAAAGTCCCTCTCATTTTATCCTCCCTTTGCCTTGTGTTTTTCCTGGCAGTGCCGAGTTTTCTCGCATTTACTCCAAGGACCCTTTTGTCTCCTGCTTAGTGAATTTCTGTGTTCTTCATTCTCTGTTACCCACCACTCCACATCTCCAGAACATTTCCTTTACTTTCCTTGCACTTGACCTCTTCTCTACACTCCTAAGTACTAAGGATGCTTGCTTTTCCTTCCAAATATCTTGTCTACTGTTTACAGCTCAGCTTGAAAGTTATTACCTACATATAGCTTCCCAAACCCCACACGTAGGACTTTCTCTTTTTGATGTTTTCACAGCAATTAACGTGTGTATGTGTGTGTGTGTGTGTGTGTGTGTGTGTGTGTGTGGTACTGCTGATGAAATCCATGCTAAGCAGGAATTGCTTCACTGCTGCACCCCCCGCCCACTGTTTCTTAATCAACTTATCTGTGCACAACTCATCTCCCCTTATTAATCTGTGTGTTCCTTGTAGACATGGCTCTCGAGTGTGCCCACAATTGTGAGATATGGAATGGATTCCCTCTCACCTGATAAACAGTCACTGTGATCCTGCTTAGTCACCCCTGTATTTCCAGGGGTGGACAGATCGAAAGTAGCATGGGTTCCTCATGACAGGGATGGCGCGGAGACAGCCCAGGGACCACTGCAGGTTGATGGCTTGCAGTTCCAGAGGGATGGCACTGAAGTGTGCTCCCTGGGCCTGCAGACAGAGGCCAAGAAGGAAGGGAGACCATGACACGCGGAGGGGGCGAGGACACATCCAAAAGCAAGACTAAGCAGTAGCCTGTAGAGTTCCCCAAATCCTCAAAGACCTATGTATTTTCAAAATAAGTTATTAAATCTAATAACTAAAGATGTTTACCACTGAAATGCAGTGATATCTGTTTTGGAGATGGCTTCCTCTACCCGCCCCCAATGCAATATATTCCTTACATTTTTTTCAAAGAAAAACTTAAACCTGAATTATAATGACATTGTTTAAATTTTCCACTTTTCTCTTTACCAATGATAATATCATTATTCACACCATTGGAATATTTTTTGCATAAATGTAACACATATTGCATTTATTATATTGAAATAGTGTTTCATGCTTCTAGCATCATTAATTATACTTTAAAATTGTATAATATGTCAGTTATATATATTTTACTTAACGACTTCCTTTATTCACATATTTGCTTCATTCTTAACTTGCTACTATAACAGATGAACATTTGGCAATTTCTTTTTGCTTAACTAAAAAACACTTTATTTTGGAATAACTTCCCAGGAAGTCGAAAGGTCTTGCATGCAGAAAGCTGATGTGCCCCTTTTACCCAGTTTCCCTCAATTTTACATAATAAGTTGTAAATTACTTCCCATGGGTAGCTTTAAAAGTGGAAGATCTCTTGTCCTATATTGCTAAATTACTGGCTAAAAGGATCTGAAAATTTACATTTCTGCTACCAGTCAAAGTTCTGCCAGTTTTAGAAAAATTTTCAAGTAGAAGCCAGAAGTTATTTTTGACTAGCTAATTCATTTCAATAAAAATCCCCAAGTGTTCTGAATTTGAGAAACCTCTAGAAATAAGTGAACACTGGCAATTTACAGGGAGGAGAATTCTGTCAGAAATTCTTAAACACTTCAAAATGGTGATAGCAATGCATTAAACCAAGTGTGGGGGTCCACTGACCCCTAGAAATCTGTGGAATAGTCCAGGTCACCCACCCAGGAAGCTGGCCTTGCTCTCTGTCTTATGCAGATTTGGAATTATGGGACACATTTCTTTAAGAATTATATTCAAGATGGGTAAGAAATTATATACATAGAGAGACAGAGACAGATTGGATATTTGTGTGATATAAACAGTTATACAGCATATATTATATATGCAACATATATAATATGTATATTATATACATAATATTATAATAATATTAATAACATATACATACATATAATTTCTTATATATGTCATATATTCATATCCTTATATATGGATGTGTTTCTTTGTGTATCCATTTTTTCAAAACATATATAACTATTATGTACTTTAAATGTATACTAATAAAAGAGAATTATACGGGAAAAGTGGAAAACAAGAGGTGAATGACCAGGAATTTGTGAGAATGTGTTATAAGGAGAAATATTGTTTGTGTCTCACTTGCATCTCTAGCTCCTAAAATCTTTGCAATTTCCCAAGTGCTGAGGTGCTAGGTACAGGCTCTGGTATTTGGTCTTTGAACTCAGTTCTTGACACAGAGTACCCCAGTCTATCTGAGTTTCCTAGGTGATAAGAGTGCATTTAGTTCTAATGAAGAGCCTCTGGTGGATTTCTGGATGGTGACCAGTCATGAGAAGGACCAAGCTCCAGTGGGAAGAAGTTCAGATGTTCAACCCCACCCTCCGTCCTTCAGCAAGCGGAGGGAGCTGAATGTTGAGTGAGAATGGACCATGCCCATGGGATGAGCCCACCATAGAAATCCTTCAAGTCTGAGATTCAGAGGACTTCCTTGGTAATGAACACACCCACATGCTGGGGTGGTGTACCCCAACTCCAGCCTGCACTAAGGACTCCCGCACTTTGTCCTATGCACCTCTCCATCTAGCTGTTCAAGGCATATGCATTCTTTGTTATAGCTTTATCTTTTATAAATACAATAAGCCAACAAATCAGTTTCCCTGAGTTTCAGGAAGAGTCTTAGCAAATGATCTGAACTAGAGGAAGAGGTTATGAGAACGCCAATTACAGGAGGCCATCAGAAGTACAGGTGACCGCCCACTACCCCCTTGGGACTGACACAAGGTGTGGGCAGTCTTGTAGGACTAAGCCCATGGGATCTGCTTTTAAGCACAGGCAGATAGTGTCATAATTGAGATCCACTGTAGGACAGGAAGCTGGTGTCTGCTAGATTGTTTGGCATGTGAGGAAAACCACACACACATTCTCTCTCTCTCTCTCTCTCTCTCTCTCTCTCTCTCTCTCTCTCTCTCTCTCATTCTCTCTCTCTCTCCTGGTGTCAGAAATGCTGGGTACTGAGTGTGTGGGTAGCAAAAGCAGTTCCATTTTCTCTATTTCATACAGAAGTAAAGATAGACCTCTACAAAATTCAGGAACTGACTGGGAGCCTGCTTACAAATGCAACAGAAAGAAATTGCTGCCTAAAATAGCTTTCAGAGAGAAAGGCAGCAGGGTTGGAAATTGCAATTCCAGGTGCTGTCTGTATGTGGGACTGGCAAGTGCCAGATGAGAAGGTGGGTTGGAAGAAATGGAACTGTGTTAGCAGGCACCACAGTCACCATCTTCCACATAAAACTGTCCTGTCCTCTCACAAACAGCAAGCATCCCCAGGAAACCAGATGTTGATCCCAGACGGAAACAGATATACATAAACATAGATGAAAGAATCTACTCCAATTACCCAGAACAATCAGGTCAGGTCTTCAGCTTAAACATAATATGGAAACAAAGATCAATTAGTAACTGGAAGAATCCTAGGAGCATAAAGTGGAAAAGAACTAAATAAACATGTATGAGAAGGGACCCTTGAAGAAAGTAATTCAACAAACAGAAAAGATGCATAGAAACCATCATTCCTAGGGAGATTTGAGAAAAGAGATCAATCATTGAACAAATGCAGGGCAATAGTAAATAAAGAATAATGGAGCCCAAATCCAACAGAACTGGTGCCCTTGTGGGAAGAGGAAGCAACATGCTCTACATAGGGAAAAAGCCCATGAAGATCTACAGAGTAGCAGCTTTCTCTATATCCAGGGAAGCCCTCAAGAGAAATCAAACCTGCTGGCATTTCATCTTGGACTTCCAGCTCCCAGAATGTTAAAAAAATATTTATTTATTCATTTGTTTATTTATTTGGTACAGGGTCTCACTATGCAGCTCAGAACTTGTAGTGATCCTTCCATATCAGCCTTCCCAGCAATGAGATTACAGGTGTGCCACCACGCCCAGTTTTAGTGCCAGCCCTATGGCATGGCATGTGGTACTTGGGATCGAACCTGGGTCCTTGCACTTGCCAAGAAGGTGCTTACGCTGCCAAACTATCTCCACGGTCTGCTCCCAGAACTTTTTTTTTTTTTTATGAATTTAGGACAGGGTGTACAGGGTCTCACCATGGAGATCAGACTCGTAGTGATCCTCCTGTTTTCAGCCCCCTAAGAGATAGGATTAAAGGCATGTGCCACCACACCCAGTCTCAGTAGCTGTCTCCGCGTGCCCAGGGCACTGGGCCAGCACAGCACGCACACCTGGGATCCAATCCCCGCTGCTGTGCTCTGCCTAAGCAGGCACTTTAGGCAGAGCCAGCCCTTGCTCCCAGACCTTTGAGAAAATGAATTTGTATTGTTTTGACCACTCAGCCTCTGGTAACAATCCTACAATATTCACAAGTTATTGTACTTTCAACATGTCCTTCCACTATCAGAAATGGAAAGAACAAAACAAGTTATTAGCTTTTCAAAAATTATTTCTGTTGATTCAAAAATTGGATATATAATAGACTGTCAACTAGTAGATAAAGATGAAATTAGAAAATTATAAATGAATGGTAATATTCAAAAGGTGAGAAAGGAAATTTTACATAATCCTGTATTTTCCCCCATATATTACTTTTAATTATTAAGGGAAAAATAGCAACTTTATGGTGAAAAAATCGCCAGACACCTCCTTAATCAAGGGATCTGAGCTTACCTCACCAATCTCAGGAGAAAACAATGTCATCTCTTCTTTGAGTACACAGAAAAAGTGGTATTTCCCCAAATTTCATACCCTAAATCTAATTATAAGAAAATCTCAGACAAAACCACTTCAAATAACATCCTACAAAATATCTGACCTATATGCATACATAATATCTAATTCAAGGATTAAGAAGGCGGAGGAACTGTTGCAGAGTAAAGACTGATGTATGCATATTTCCATTTGCAATGTTCCTTAAACAAGAACTCTCACATTTAAGGGTACAGATCTGTCTTTCATCCAGCTGGCTCCAAGCGTGTGTATGCTTTTATCTCTGTGTTTGTCTGTCAACCTACCTCTTTTTCCATCAATATTATTGATACCAGAAGAAGGACTGCCTTGTCACCTGTCTGTCTCTCTATCTACCTACCTGTCATCTATCACCTGTTTCACAGTATGTAATTGTCTGTAGGCACAAGGTTCAGCTGAGAGGAAAGAACGTATTACTGGGAGATATGAGTGGAACTGACAGGAAATACCAAGGCAGAGCCCAGTTTCGTCAGAATTTAAAATTTGGCTACCTTTTGAAAAGCAAATTGGAGATTTCTGGGATTCTTAATTTCACGTCTCACGCGGGCTTTACTTGTAGTTTCTTAGGAGGGTCGGAGAGGGGACTCCAGGTGCTCAAGACCAAAGCTCTGGTGCACAATGCCAGCGAGTTCTGACAAGAACTTACGGAGTTTACAAAAATACGCTTTTGAGCTGCAACCTGAGGAACCTGACAGAATTGTAGACGCCAGCAGCTAATACGATAGAGTTCCTTCCTGGGGAAGGACTAATGAAATTAAAATTCTAGGGAAGTGACTAACAATAGCAGGAGAATCACTCACTTTGAGATTTTCCAGGACTCACCGTAAGCTAAGACCTTTTTTCGGCCCCAGGCGCAACAAATTTCCCCACTTCCGCCCTCAATACTCCGACCTTCTATCAATTAACTGAGCATGCGCTAATCCTGGACACTCCCCCTCCCTCCCCCCGCCTCACTTTCAAACTGTGGAGGGAGGAACTAACGTCGTTGTGGGGCGGAGTCTTGGAGCTGACTAAAGGATATGATTGGTTGGCCTCGGGGTTCACATTCTTCTATGGGCGGAGCCTCTCCCTCCGGCCAAATTTAATGTACTGTTCTCCTAATTTGGGAAGTGTCGCGTGCGGGCGGGGCGGGGCGCGGGGGCGGCCAATGTGCGCCTGCGCGGAGCGGCGGGACAGGGCGTGTTCCGTGTTCCGGACGGGTTTGCGGTGAGCGAAGGCATCTCTGCCAGCTGCACGCGTCTTGCAGGAGTTCTCTGGGTCCCCTGCTGGGTGAGTGGGTGCCATTGCACCCAGGTGTGCTTCTCCACGCGGCCGAGGCCGGGCTGGACACTTCCGACCCTCTAGTCTCTCCGCTGCCCACCGTTCAGCCTGGCCAGAACTGGGGTGTGGCCGCCGGAGGGCTCTTATCCTGTGTTCCCCGTCTGTCCTCCTGCCATTGCCCATGTGTTGTGTTGTCGTTTGGTGCAGAACATGTCCAAGTCTCTGAAAAAGTTGGTGGAGGAGAGCCGGGAGAAGAACCAGCCGGAAGTGGACATGAGTGACCGGGGCATTTCCAACATGCTGGATGTCAACGGCCTGTGTGAGTTCCCGGCGGCCCTCCGCCTGCCCCAGGAGCTGGGAGGGTTTCTGAGTTTGCCCAGGAACTGCCAGTCCTCCCAGGAGAGGTGGGGATGCTTTCAGTCGCACGCAGTGCTTGTAAGCATCACTTGTCCGGAGCGAGGCTCGGAAAGTTTGCGATGGGAACACACTGGTCCTGGATCTTGGTGGGTGGATCGTGCATGTCGTTTACCCAACACACAGAAGTTACATGATGAGAGAAAGTTCTGTGCCTGGAGTGTTATACACATTTCTTGACACCTTATCTATTTCTGGGTCTTTATTTGCGTTTTGTTAACTTTTTTCTTGAGCTGTATGTAGTGAAAGCCTCCTAACTTTCAGTGTTGCCTCCACGCTGAGGGGCTAGTTTTATCACTGTATTCCGTTTGCTGTTGTTCTCTGGCAGCGTTCATTTTGTTAGGTTAACTGCCTTCTTTAAGATCAGGAATTGCACACTCAAATCCCTGAAGGTGGGATTGGGCTTGAGCTCCATCATAAGCGTCTGTCCCAGTGGGCAACTCCAGCCTGAGCTACTCAAGCTCAAACTGTTGCCACCATGTTTTGCTAGATTTTCTTCGTTCAAGAAGCCAAGAATGCAGATTCTTATAGGAAATTTCTTCCTTTTTAAATATGAGCAACTAATTTCAATACTTGAAAAATACTGTGGGTGAGGTAAAGCATTTCTTTAGGCTGCATATGACATAAGTTTGGGTTTTCTCCTGGAAACATAATGTAGCTCTCCTTCCCTAACAGTTGTGCCCCAGGTTCCCCAGCGGGAGGGGCAAGGTCTTGCAGAGTCTGGCCACAGCCTTGTCCTTGCTGTGCACTTAGCCACACTGAACAAGTCACCCCGCCTGAACCAGCTGAACTAGAGCATTTCGTGCCCTCCCTTCTCCCCACTCTTTTCACCTGAGGTCCTCTTGCTTCTGTCAGTAGTCTACTGAGATGTCTCGGCATAGAAGAAGCCTTCTGTGTACCCCTGATGCAGACACTCCCTCCTCTGAAGTTGGACATGCCTGTTTTTTTCCCCTTTCCCACCGCACTGTTAGATGGGGAGGGCTAACCCTGTGCAGTATTCACTTTTGCCTTCTTTACCCCAATTCCTGAAACACAGGAGGGGCTTCTAGGTATTGGATAAATGAAGAATAATGGATGAGGCTTACAAGTTTGTGAGATGCAGTCCAGGGTGTGACAACAGAGAATAAGAGGAGGTGTCCAAGTGACCTTGAAAGATGATGGGTAGCTTGGTAGGCACGGAGAAGTCGCGTTTACTCTGAATTCCTAGTTTGTGCCTGGGACACATTTGGGGCCGATGCTGTTGGTATATCTTGGCAGAACGAGTGGAGATGAAAAGTTGTAGATGCCTTGCGTTTGGTGAGCATGATGTAATCACTGTCCTTAACTTTGGTTGTGTATTACTTAGCACCTCAGTTCTCTTTCTGTGTGCTGTTCGCTTGCATTTGAGATGGGTTCTGGCTCAGCAGCGAGCAGAGGTCTCTGGCGCTGGCTCGGCAGCTGAGGGCTTGGGTGGGCTCCACACTGCCCCTGCCCAGCTATGATCATGAGCTTGACTGGGGCACTGTTGCTGTGGAGGCAGAAGAGGGTGGGGGCAAGGCAGGCACTGGCACAGCTCTGCCCTGGACCATTTCTTCCTTATAGCAGCCTTTCTCTTGGGGCTGAAGAGAGAGTTGACTCTTAGCAGAAGAGAGAGTTGACTGAAGAGAGAGTTGACTCTTAGCAGAGCAGCTTTAGGTGCCTCTGCATTTGAAGGAGCATCATGTAATATTTATAAGCGAAGAGTGTGGCTTATTTGTTTCACTTCAGCTTCGTTATCTCTCTGAAGCCTTGACTTTTAGAACGTATGAAAAGATAGCCACTTGCTTCCTGAGAAAAATGTTTGTGGTATAATATTGGGTGGAGAAAAAGCAAGATCATTCTTCAGTTTTCCCAGAGAAGTGGCTGAGGAAGGGAATGTGTTGGGAAGCTCACAGAAGGGCACTTGGAGATCCCACAGCCTGTGGCTTCTGTGGTGACCCAAGGACAGGCTGCCCGCTGCTTACTCCTGGACCTCTGCCCTCTTTGGGGTACAGAGTCCTAGGTTCTTCTGCACAAGCTGCATCTGCAACATATTCATCAGCCATGCACACAATGTGCATTATTTACAAGAATAATTACAATACTTGGTATGGTTACAAGAGTGTCTTCCTTTACTTACACAACTTTGCATAAGAATGGAGCTTTTTATAATGTAATTTTATTTTTTATTTATTTATTTGATAAAGGGTCTCACAGCTCAGACTCATAGTGATCCTCCTGTCTCAGCCTCCCCAGCACTGGGATCACAGGCGTACACCACCATGCCCAGTTTCAGGGCTGGGACAGCATGTGGTGCCTGACATTGAACTCAGGTCCTTGCGCTTGCCAGGCAGGCCAAGAATGGAGGTTTTTTATTTCTTTAAAGCCTATAAAGTGCTTGAGAGAAAGGAGTCTTATGCACCTTGTGCTTTGCTTCCTCAGAGATAGATAGTAAGTTACCTTTTAAAGATGTTTTGAGGAATTTGCTACCAAATGCTTCCTCAAGGGGGCAAACTTACTAGTCTGGAAACATGTTGGACTGTAGTTTCCTGGGCTGTGATACACTGGGTGCAAGTTCTGCTGCTTACCACTGTGTACCCTTAGAGGAGCTTCTTATGGACACTAAGTAGCACTTGGGAGGACTAGTGTCTTACTTTTCTTCAATTGCTGAGACAAAGTACCCATGCCCAAAATTAAGGAAGGAAAGGCTTATTTAGCTCACAGTATGTGGAGGCTTCAGTCCATAATCAGCTGGCTCCAAGGCAGGGTGACATGGTACAGGGCCAACACTTCAGGGTGGCAGAAGACAGCAAAAGCAACAAGAGCAAAATGGGAAGGGGCCGGGGAAATAGCTCAGTAGAATAAGTGCTCGCCTGGCAAGTGCAAGGGCCTGAGTTCAATCCCCAGTTCCGGAAAAAAAAAAAAAAAAAAAAAAAAAAAGCAAAATTATTTCCTCACTTATATTGTATGCTGCTCTCTAACCTAGGGTGAATCCTATTTCCTCACTTATATTGTATGCTGCTCTCTAACCTAGGGTGAATCCTTTACACCCACACCATATCTGTGCCCCTCTCTTGCATAGGCTCAGGGTATTTACAAAGTGAGGACCCTAGTTGAGTTGGTTAAACTTCTAAACTTCCCAAGTTGACACAATGTATCGACCATTACAACTGGTTTAGTGCTAATTTCAGTAGTGTGTATCAAATGGTAAGCATCAATAGGAATATCTACGTACAGGTGGAGAGCCCGGATGTAACCAGTTTCAGGGTCATCAGTTGCCTGAACCAAGAATTTAACTTGGTTAATTAGGCTGGGTTAATCTATTGTGCTATCTGTTGGCATTTTTTATGTTGCTTGTTAGAACTTAGAGTGTCTCACATTTTTGCCTAGGGTTCTGTCCGATGAGGTGGCTGTTATTTTGATACTTCTTGCAATTTTGTATTTAAAAATTTTTTTCTACCTGGCACATAATTTGCACACACATTCTTCCTTAAAGTTTCCAAGAGTAATACTGGCCATGTTGTTCTTTTTCTTAAACAGATTTTACCCTGGAAACTTGGAATAGCATCTCTTTCCATGAATGATAAAGTTACTTTTCAAGGCTCCTGTCATCAGCTGACATCAATTGTCATTTCTTTTATTTAAATCTCTCTCTCTCTCTCTCTCTCTCTCTCTCTCTCTCTCTCTCTCTCTCTCTGTGTGTGTGTGTGTGTGTGGTACTGGGGATTGAACTCAGGACCTTGGAATAGCATCTCTTTCCATGAATGATAAAG